CCGATAGATGCTTATCAACAAAAATAAAAAAATAAAAGTACCTATTATGGAAAAACTCTTAAAGTAAAAACATGAGTTTTCCTAGTAGCTACATCGTAAATAGCCGTGTGTGCCCCGGCATAGAATGGGCCATCCCTTTCTTTTCTGTAGGTGTCGAAGAGGCGACTAAGAGAACTTAATAGCCGAGGGATGGACAGCAGCGTCTCTCTTAAAACATCTCCAAAAGCCTAACTGCGGTTACCAACCCGCCTGCCAAACGTGGCAACGACTAGCAAACCTCACCTATGGGAAAACTTATGTCCAGCAGTGGACAGTTAACGGCTGAAATAATAACAATAATAAAAAAATATCGTAAACATAATACCATTAGACAAGAAATAAATCCAACACACAATTATGTCGTATTTTGTTACTAACCAGAGTTATTAAAAAAAAAAGAAATAACGACCTACGAGCAATATAAATTTATCAATAATCATAATTATAAAATATACGCCAATAAATCGATGGCGTACGTATCGAGTATAGCCAGAATTCCGGTGAGATACATATTCACTGTCTCCCTCCGACCGATCATAAACACGACACGGTTAATTAAAACGGTACATTAGCATAAACAAATAAAATGGCCCATTACGAATTCAATTTACAATCTTTGAAATCGGTTAAATTAGTCGCAATAAATAATATCTCGGATACAGTTTCGATAATAGCGTTATGGGGCAATTTATAAACGTAGCGGGTGTCCGCACCGGACAGGCTATCGACTGAATGCGTGTACCTATTCACTGCCCGGCCCGGTAACTACTCGCTATCGACACAATTTAGCCACAATATCGCATATTATGTGTGGTGGCGAAGTGAGAATAATCTCTCTCTTTTCATTTAAGAGTTTCCTCTTGTTGGTGCAACTAATTCATGCAGCTTCCTCCAGCCAGTTCTATCCCAGGCCATATCCTTGACCTCCCCATACGACGTTACACCTAGTGTTTCTTTTATCTATCCCATGTAGTTATTCTTTGGTCTTCCCCTTCTTCTTTTGCCTTCTATTTCTCCTTCTACTATACTCTTAAAAAATCGTCATGTCGTATCAAGTGACCCAGCATTTTGCCTCTTCTATTGTCTATTGTTTTAATTAATATAATAATGTACTAATTGAGAAAAATGTACTACGTTATTTCATTTCTAGGTTAATGTAAGAGGCGACAGAAGCAACAAAGCATAAAACGTCAATGAGAAGATTTCTTTCTTCGACTGGACATCCAGTATGGTAATAACAGGAACTTCTTATAAATTGATACCCAGTGGGAAATCAGGAGAATGTTAGGATACTTATGATCGCAAAATCTATACAAATAATTGAACTACTTGAAGAGGATGGACGAAAGAAGAATTGAAAAAAGAGATTTATGAAGCACGAATGGAATGGCAACGCATGGGAGATATCATGGGCAAAACAGATAAGCAACGGGTGCATAAGCAAAACAGAATAGATAGATACTCTTTATTGTTTCCTCCAAAAGATTACAATAGTAAACTTATTATAAATATAAACAATTACAAGAAATAATCACAATGAGAAAACAATGGGCGCTAAAAGCGACAATTTAAAACAGAAAATTGTCAATACGCTTGAAAAAATTTGTCTGTAATAGAATACATTAGCGATATGACAGCTGATTTTACCAATACAAGAATTGTTTTATTTTTAATTTTTTTATGTGGGATTTTGTGGTTCAATAAAAAGTTAAGTAACCAAATTTTGCTCTCACGACTACTGAAAGTTGTGTAAAAAAAACCTGTCATACGTGTCATAATTTTATTTTATTTCTTTTTGTAAGAAAGACAGGATATGTTTCTATCGTCGTCGGATAAAAATCAGTGCGCGGTCGGCGGGTCGGGGCCGCCGCGGGCCGCGGACAGTGACGCGCCGCGGGGGGCCGCGCGGACCCTCACCGGGGCTAGCGCTGCGACTTGACTTCATCGCAAAGTCAATATATCGATAGTTTATTTATTGAGATTTTTAAACATATCAATATTTTCGTCATTTAATTAGTCCAAAAGTCCGAAAGGAGTGACATTTAGTTTTAGTTACAGTTGTTTAGTGCCCGAAAACAAATTGATAGAAAAACAAAAACAGACTATATTTTTTGCTACATAGATAACTATAGTTAGTATAAGATGGAGGTAGAGAAGTGTCGTGTGCGTATTTAGTTTTAGCTAAATTTATATTAAATACATATGTACTAAATAAATAAAAAATCGAAACTCGAAGATATAGCCATAACGTATAATATAAATTAAAAATAAACAAGCTGTAACAGCAACTACGCTCATGTGGTAGTCGAAATAATTTTTAATTCTTAAAAACATAATGTGCTTATTAAAAGCTAATATTATATAGGGTTTCTTTCGTAAAGACTCGTGTTATTTATAAGCGAGTATTAGTTCGAGATACTCGATCTATTAAGTTATGAATTATATCAAAGGATGGGTTAAAGTTGCATCTCGTAATTAGCCGATTTTGATAAATTACTTACCATTTTTTAAGTTACACTAATATCGTACGTAAAAAACACATACACTACTAACTATTGCAGTAGATTTTCAAAATTTTAATTCAATCACTTTATGACTTTAAAAAAGCTGCTTAATCATTGAATTATTAATTATTCTGATAAATACAATTATCGACAAACAGCGTGGGCAACACTAGTGTGGCGCCTCGTGGGCCGCAGCGCCGCGGGGCCGCATTGTTCGTGCACCTAAGTGCCTCATATTCGGTTACCCGCCTATATTACACGCCTATACACAATATCGATAACCCATGCGTTGTGCAATTAAGAACATCCCTAAACTTTCATATAGACAATAAATTTTAAACTTATCATTATATGTAATAAAGTTCATTTTGGTTTCTCATTGTAACTGGTTGTTAAGTCAGTGAGATTCTTTTGAGAAATGATATAATTTTCATTTTACTACTTCTTGAACACACGAGAACCTCAATAAATTACTGAACAAAGCTCGCACGTCGCACCTTATTTGAGAGACGTTTTGTCATGCCATTGTCTCTTCTACAAATATAATTTATAATATTTGTTTATTACTTTTCAAAACAAAGTCTTAACTCATAAAATCCCATAAATTGCTACTTTTATTGTACGACTTTTATTAATAAGCAGTCAAATTATTGTTTTTATATTTTTAATTGGTGATATTTGAACGTCAGGACGGTTTATTGTTTTTCTATACCAGTTTCGAGCATAAATTATGATAAAACCAGTGGATTTAACGTTTAAAAAGCTGTGGGTTAATATGTTACGTACTAACTACTAAACTTTTAGTAAACAAATATCTAAATGAAAGTGTATTTCTTATTAAAATCCATTACATGATTTAAAAGAAGTGAGCGGAAAACAGTCCGATGCACATAGCAACTTTGTTCCATACTACATGGTACTGTTCATGTCTATAGGCGACGGTAAACACTTTCTATCGGGTGGGCTTGTTTGCTATTCTAAGTTTAAAAAGAAAAAATCTATTTAGAGAGATATGATTGTAAATTCAAAAGTTTATAAACATAATAAATCACTACAGATAATATACACGACAGGTATTAAAATATGGAGAAACAATAATTTAATACTTGATCGAATTGACTTAATGACGTTAAATATAATTTATTAATATTTTTTGTAAATTTTTTTTGTACTTTCTTATTTATCTAATAGATATATGTACTTATTTTTATTTATACAACTTAGAATGGCAAACAAGCTGACGGTCCACCTGATGGAAAGTTGTAACCGTCGCCTATAGACATGAGCAGTACCATGGACATAACAGAGTATACTGTTTCGCCCATGATACCCCCCATGCGTTGCCATTCCTGAGGACTCAGGTGTTATTCCTCTGTACTCAGTAAATTCACGCCATATCCCACCCTTCAAACCGAAACACAGCCATGCAAACACAACTGCTTCACAGTTGAAACACGAATGGAACAGAGGTACCCAAGCAATCGACTTTTGTATAAAGTCTCTCTCTTAAATCGCACCATACCTTTACACTGTTTGAACTTTTATATTTTTCTTTGTTCTTATTAATACTTATTATGGGGACCATAAATTCTAATTTGCCATACCTATACTTATATCCTATAATTTATGGTTTTTTTTTTTTAATTTTTGCACAATGGCCTCGTCATGAAGACAGCATACATTGTTTACACTTCTTACTGGTCGATAACAATGACGAATGTTACTGATACAAGACAAATTACTGCTTTTAGGGTTCCGTATAACAAAAAGAAAAACGAGATCCTTGTAAGATTACTTTGTTGTTCGTCTGTCGGTCAGTGCGTCTGTCAAGACATTTTTTCTCAACAACGCGTGGATATATCAAAATGAAATTAATTTAAAATAGTCAAAGTTTGCAATCTCTTGAAGCTGTGAACTCAAAATAAAACTTTTAAATCAGCGCAATCAAAAGAGACGACGTTTATAAAATAATAATAAGAAATAAACACCTAAAGAATATTTCCCGTTGACTTAGAACCATGTGATTTGGCAAGAAGTAATGTAGTAAAGAAAAAAAAAAAAAAAAAAAAACGAAAACTATAGTTTTGTAGTTACATCATAAAAAAAAAAATTGCAATACTTTTAAATATAATTTGTACATAACCCTCAGTGGGTGAGTGTGACCCAACATGCATTCAGCCAGTTTTGTACAAACGATGTTTTTCCAAGAGACAACAGCATGAGGTTTTTTTTTTTAAAAAAAAAGAGATAAAGGTGCCCATAATAATGCCCCTAATATTGTAGACGTTCATAGGCTACGGTAACCGCTTACCATCAGGTGGGCCATATGCTTGTTTGCCACCGCAGTGGTATAAAAAAGACGAATATCGACTGAGGCGATAAGGCTGCATGTAAATATAAAATATGTTTTAAATGACGTCTATTTCTTTAGTAATTATAATACGAAAGCTCTCTTACCTCGGGGTCAATCTTCTTGTACTCGGGGTCCTCCTCGTCGACCTCGAAATAGAGTTCCGTGGAGGTGAGCGAGACGGTGCCCGGCGCGACCAGCCCCGGCGCCACCAGCCGCGCCTTCGTGCTGATATTCACCGGACCTGGACACGTGTTCAAGTTATTATAATGTTTCCAACTACCGGGCTAGATGGGTCAGTGCCCTGGGGCCCCCAAGCTCAGGGAGCCCTTGAGCTTTGGGTTGATTAACTATTGAAGCACTGAACTAATGAAAATTTCTCTCACATTCGGAATATAAATGAACCAGATTTTAGAAACGCGACTTTAATAATAACAAATATTTTATTAATATATTATATATACATATTTGTGTTTTAATTTTATATATATTATAACCAATGTAAAAGTTTCAAAAAAATGTGTCTAATTGAGACAGCCAAATGTCAATTTCAGCTAAATTGACATTTGGCTTACATTTTTAACATTCAGTGCACTATTTATATAATACAGTATTGCCAGATTGGCTATTTTTTTCGCAATTTTAGGCAAAATCATTTCTGATCACGAAGTATTGGGGAAATTAAATTTGAAAAGTAGGGTATTGAGGTGAGGTTACAGATAACAGAGGCATAATAACATACTCCTTAGGAATAACAATGCATGAAGCATGGCATTTTGATGCCAGGCACCCTGGGCATCAAAGTATATTCTATAATGGCCATATTGCTGTTCATTATTATAGGTGGGGCATCAGGTCGTTTGTATAGGATATTGTGGAGGTAGATATACCGGTGAGGTCGGCGTCGATGTCGCGGTCGTCGACGAGCAGCTCCGCGTCGTCGAGCAGCTCGGCGTGCGCCGCCGTCGGCAGCTGGGCGCCGCGCGCGCCGCCAGCGCCGCCCGCGCCGCCCAGCCGCGCGTGCAGCTCCTCGGTCGCCTGCGCAAGCGCATCGTGTCCTGTTACGCTAGCACAACATACGTCGCGCGAAATGTCCATATATTGAAAAGCATACCATTTGCTACATTTAGTTACCTTGCATCGAAAATCGGTTATTACGGCGATTTAACAACGTGAAACATGCAAGTTCGGCGTCTATTCAATCGTCCACCGAGGAGCAAAAGATCGTTAGGAATGGAGTATACCGGTCGCATTGCTAATCATATACTTTTTTAGATCGATTTCCCCGTGGTCCTCCTTGGTTACCATAAACCTCCGTTTCTATAATTATATAGACTTAATATGTCTACCGACCGACCTAGTCGGTTATATTAAGTAAATTTTCACGCGTTTCAACTTCGGCTTCCCATGAAACCACTGTGGTGAATTTTTGTTTCATTTGAAACTATGAGAAATTAAACTATTACTATACCACTGACTTACTTTTATTTTCACTTATAATCCTTTATTGGTACTCCGCTAGTGAAAGCCAATAGCAAAAGTGCGTTTCACTTCATGATCAACCCATATATCTCGGTCGATCGAGATATATCACGGTTATATGATGCAAATGAAAGTTAGTTTAGAAGCGACTTGATATTATATGTTCGGGTACCTGCAGGATGGCGTCGAGCGGCTGCGGCGGTGGCGGCGGCGCGTGCGGCGTGAGCGGCGCGGGGTCGCGGGCCAGCGCGGCGGCGGCGTGGCGCGAGCCGCGCGCGTCTGGCACCAAGCGGCGCCGCCGCCGCGCGTCGTCCTCCCACGAGTCCAGCTTCCAGAACTGCGCGCCGCACGCGCCGGGCGGGTGGTGCGGGCGCGCGGCGGCGGCGTGGCGCAGCTTGTCGAGCAGGCGCGCGGCGGCGGCGGCGTCGCGCCGGCGCGCCGCCGCGATCAGACGCTCGCACGCGCGCTCCTCTTCAGCACGCTCCGCACCCTGCGCCGCGCACACGCACTGCGCACGCGAGGGGTAAGGGTTGTTACTAATATACATCAACATACCCAACCAGCTCCACCTCCACGCGGTCCCCTTTGGACACCATCGTGATTAATTCCTGATGAATTCATCGTGATAGACTAACTGGCCTGTTTTCATTCTCATCTATCACCCTCCACTGGTACCCTGCCAGCGTATACCGTTAGCGCAGGTTGCCATTCCATTTTCTCCATAAAAAAGACTGCGGCAAACAGACACAGTTCGTCATCAGCGAACGTACACACAACATATCGTATACACTGAATTCCGCGTATCCCGTTAGCGCAGGCGGGGTTACCATACCATTTTCACCCATCAAAAAAAATTCTATTTAGCTCACTACATGTTAACATGTCTTTGACACTCGATACTCTATGTATATAATATAAAACTGTTCTTAAAATGTGACATTAAAAACGAAGGGGGCAAAAATTTTATGAAATTTTGATTGTTTCGTAAAACTAATATACATACCATTTTAAAATATATTTTGAAATGGCACTTTACTTTACTTACTTTTTCATCACAATTATATCAGCTATTTACTGTCCACTGCTGAACATAGGCCTACCCCAAAAGTACCCCAAAATACACGACTTTATCTTTACAAAAATCATAGTGCAAGTCTCATCACCACAAAAAAGAACCCTATTGTAAAGATCAGGGGGTTTTGCCAGTAGTTGCCACGTTTGGCAGGTGGATTGGCAACCGCAGTTAGGATTTTGTGATGTTTTAAGAGGGACGCTGTTGCTCGTTTCTCGACTATTAAGTTCCCTTAGTTCCTTCTTACGACACCCACAGGTAAGGGAGGGGTGGTCCGTTTTATGCCGGGACCACACGTCTTGACCTTTACAAAGGTGAAATATATTAATATAGAAAATCGCTGTCAGTTATAATTTAGTTTTTTTTAAAGGAGTACAGAATCACCATAGAGTAATCAGATACATTTTTTATTTTCGATAACTTTATTAAAAGGTCTTACCTCAAAATCAGCGTGTTTAAGCACATCGTCCGCTCTCATTCTATTTAGAATGAATTCCGCTTCGTTGGCGACCCTCACTATGTGGTCCCTCATGGCGTGAGACAGCAGTCTGCCTTCGTTGATCAGCTCTATAAACGCGAGTCCAGCGTGCTTCTGTAGCGAGTTCTGCCACTCCTGGGAGCACAGCAGCATTACCAGTTCCACGACTGAAGTACTGGATTTGAAGGTTTGGAGCCCTGGAATTTAAATATAATAAATATAATAGAAAAAATGCATCAGGTATGAATGAAAAAAAAAAATGTACTAAATAACAGAAATAATAAAAGTAAAATTTGAAAACATATGTATATCTTAAGCTTTTTAAAACCGTTATTGTAAGATTTACATCTTAATCTAAACGGTTGCAATGCTATATCATTATGAAATAGTACATTGGAAGCTTTAGCAGCTTGAAACATGAAATAAAACTATAAAAAGGAAGCATAAGAAGAAAGTATATGTACATATTAGTATTTGCCTTTGATTCATGGCCGTAGCTGGGGCGGGGCATTGAGACTAATACCCTACCTTAAATGATCCAATATTAAAATGAAAACTTTAAAATGAAAGGCCCCAAGAAAATTAAATAGATTCGCTTTTTCGAAGTCAGCTGGCTTCTGCCCTACGAAAAATTCTTTTGCCCTACCTTCTTAAACTTATGTCTAGCTATGGCCCTGTTTCGATCTATTCTTACGACATATCGTACATTTAAAGAAATAACAAAAAGCAACACAATCGTAAAAATCTACGATTGTACAAAGTGAAGATAAATAAAGGCGATGTCGGTGGTGTGGCGCGCGCGTACCCTCCATGAGCAGCTCCTGGCCGTGGCTGCCGACCAGCGTCTTGGCCAGGAAAGGCGCGAAGTCGAGCATGATCTCGCGCAGCAGCGGGCACACCGGGCCCAGCGCCGTCTCCAACTTGCGCGTCAGCGACGCCTCGCGCGACGCGCCCTCGCCCGCCGCCGCCCCCGCCGCCCCCGGCCCAGTCGTCGCCGCCGGCCCAGACCCAACCGTCGCCTCCTCCTGCCGTCGACCACAGGACAAATGAACGAGTGCTTGTTAACCCAATTGACCTGCTTTTCCTCACCTATTATCATTCACTGGTTGGCATCATTCACTAAAAACCCCTATAGTTCCTGTCTTATCATCATCATCATGTCGATCGTTAACTATTTACTATTGACCACAGATCTTTCCCTATTGAGAAGTTTTGCCTATAGTTGACACTTTTAACAAGCGGGTTGGCAGGTGCAGATATGTTTTTGGTGATATTTTAAAAGAAACCCTGCTGCCTACCCCCCGATCATTAATTTTTCTTAGTCGCCTTTTAGAAGACCCACACGAAAGGAAGAGGTGGTGTATTCTATGCTGGAACCACACGGCATAGAATAGTCCACTCTTAAAAGCTCCAGCTTGCCTGGTCACTACTGCCAAAATAAAATGTAAATGCAAACGTTAAGTTTACCGGATGTAAGTGCCTCTGAGCAGCCTGCAGGTTCCTGTTCTGATGCCGCTGCTGTAGGTGGTGGTGTGACTCCGAATTCCGCATGTGTATTTGTTTGTCTATATCTGTAAGGACACAAACATATCCATTAAATATCATTTGTATATTTTTTATTTAAAAGATTGAATACATTTATATTTGTGTTTATAGATAGATTTTTTTAATCTCACAGGATTGTAGGAAGAATAAATAAATTCTTTACCCTATTAATTACAGGAATAACAGTAAGTAATACAGTTCTTCCTTATCTTTCCTACAATTGGACAATTGCCCAAGGAGGGTCTTCCACCAACCTTCATGTATGTTCCCCTCGTGGTCCCGGGTCCTGCCGGTGATGGTGGCGGGGCCTCTCTCGCCGTCTTCATTCAGATTCACGTCCGTCCACGACTCGTCGTTACTCACCTGCAATATACAAAAGGTTGGACTATACTAACCAACCCCCTAAACAAGTTAATCTTTTCGGTGAGTGCTTGTATAAGACAGAGCAGGACACCGGACGTCGCCATCTTATCTTATCTATTTTTTTTTACTATACAACAACACAGGGAGCATGCGGCTCACTTGATGGTAAGTGACTGCCGCCGCTCATGATCACCCACAACATCAGCAGCGTTGCAGGTGTGCTGCCGGCCTTTTAAAAAGGAATATGCTCTTTTCTTGAAGGTTATGATGTCGTATCGGTTCGGAAATACTGCTGCTAGAAGTTGTTTCCAAAGAGTGCTAGTGCGTGGAAGAAAGTGCCTTCAAAAACGCACGATGGAAGACGACCACTCGTCCAGATGGTTGGTATGAAATTTTAGTTTATGGCGGGTTGTACGGTGGTGAAAATCAGCAGCAGATATCAATCCGAACAATTCCTCAGATCACTCCTCATGATACATTCGGTAGAAGATACACAGAGATACGACATCTCTACGCAGTTTCAGTAGGTCGAGCGGACTAGCTCATGATATCGATTCTATTAATAGATCCGCTTGCTATTTATCTGAGGGACACATTTTTAGCGTTGTGGTTGGTGAGTTAGTGGGCTCTTTAAAATATGGTTGAACGGAATGAGGACTGGTTCATCCGTCATAATAGTGAACGGGTGCTTCTTGTAATCTTCTCTCTGCTCTAGGTAACTAACTAAATCATTTGTTAAAAACACTTGTATGTCTAGATCCCAAATCTTAGTGAAAAGATACTACTTCTTTTTTTTATACAACTTAGAATGGCAAACAAGCTGACGGCCCACCTGATGGAAAGTGGTAACCGTCGCCTATAGACATGAGCGGTGCCATGGACATAACATAGTATACTGTTTCGCCCATGATACCCCCCATGCGTTGCCATTCCTGAGGACTCAGGTGTTATTCCTCTGTACCCTGTAAATTCACGCCATATCCCACGCTTCAAACCGAAACACAGCCATGCAAACACAACTGAAATAAAGAGTATCTATCTATCTATCTCCTTTATACAATTTAGAATAGCAATCAAGCAGACGGCCCACCTGATGGACTATAGTAAACATAAATAACAAAATCATTCAAATAATGAAAGTAATAAAAACTAACCGGATGCTTGTTGTCATCTAAGGCGATCTCGCTTGACGTTTCGGGATCGTTGTTGGTAGTTTCTGTCGAGTTGAGATGAAAAGAACCGGCATCCTCGATCGAGTCCACACTCTATAAGAAGAGGAAGAGAGTTCAATATTGAATGGCATATTAAATTGTATCTTTCGGTGTAAAATACAAGTGAATGTAGTGCATAACTGACATCCAGTGTTTCTGATTGCAGTATCTAAATAATGCATGTTCTAAATATCAAACATTTCCTAATGAAACGTAATAGACGTGTTCAAATTAAAATACATATTTAATTGGATATCAATACAAATATATTTACTATTTTATATAAATATTGTATTAGTAGTTATTATATATTAAATCAATTTAATTTATATTTCTTATTATGGGGAACCATGGGGTTAAATCCGTTTTAAATGAATCGTAATACAATTGATTTCATACTAGCCTTGTTGCCTGTTACTTCGTACACGTAGATTCAAAAGTAAGAAAAAGTAAATATTTCTAAAAAATCTAATTCAGCTTCCATTTGTCTCATTAAGACCTCTCATACTAATTTTTCTTAAATATCTCCCATGTACAGACATTGTTTATATTGATAACAAGTGTACTATTGTAATCTTTTGGAGGAAACAAGAGTATATATCTATCTATCCATTGTTTACTTAAAATTTTATTATATTAACCCGCTGATAAAAATGTCTAACACGTTAATATTATGGCCTAAGCACGAAATGCCTATTAAACTTGGTGGGTTATACAGGACAGGCCATATTATGATTTACAAAACGGTTCTTTTAACGCCCCAGAATTGTTTTCCTTACCTGTAAACATATATACTACTTGTACCTATAATATATTATGTTAATTCAAGGTTTCATTCAAATTATACAAATAGTTAAAAAATTGTGAAGTTTGAATGACAAAATGGGTGTGATATCACAGTATTTCATGCAAATACAAGGGCGGGTGGAAAAAGCAAGCCACGCACACAACATGCCATAGTGAAAAAAGGAAAAATATATTAAATACACGCCACTATCTCACTCACTCACCCATTATAATGGCAATACGCCATAAACTGCACTCAGTGTTGTATTATAAACTATGATATATTATTTATATACATAATTGTATCAAGTAACTTGGTATTATTGGTAAATCATCTTAGTATGTATTTTTAACAAATTTAGTGAAATAAAATGAATAAAAAGTTACAAAAATATAATATCATGTAATTAATTAATACCAAATTATTTTATCTATTTGTTATGTAATGTTGCTTCGTTAGAATAAAAGGTCAAGATTGTTGACTATCTTCATCCGAGGTCATTTACAGAGTAGGCAGAGATGACAGTGTGCAAAAGGCTTCTATCCCTGCATAATTCTTTTATTCTCATATTGTATCGTGACTGTGTAAGATTACAGTTTATTTGATTTATAAGTACATCAAAATACTATCAAAATATCATTAATAACAAAAAAACTAATTACAATGATTTACAGTCATGTTTTGAGTTGGCAATTAACGTAGTTGCTGAAGCAGTAACTTGTTATACATCATATTATTTCAAAATAAATTATATTCTATCTAAATTTAGAATTTATACGTATATGCTCATTATAAGGTATAAACTGTATTATTTTGTAGAAAATGCAGACAATTTCTTATATAAAAACATGTATATATGTTTCTAATTTATGCCAAAATGGATTTTTATTTTCTTTTTTTTTTCTAAGTGAATATTGCTGTAAATATATTTTTTTTTCTATCAGAATTCTTAATTTTATTCATATTTTTTTCTTAAATATCTTATCACATCAGCCCTTAACTGTCCACTGCTGAACATAGGCCTCCCTCTGGAGTGTTTTGCCAGTAATTGTCACGCTTAGCAGGCAGCTTGGCAATCGTAGTTAGGCTTTAAAGATGTTTTAAGAGGGAAGCTGCTGCCTATCCCTCGCTCTCCCCATCTTCTTTTCTTCAATTACACATTATAGGTATATAATTTAATTATACTATAACAGTATTCTTTAGTAAACTGTACACTGTGTGAAGTGCGAGGTGCATGTATACATTAGTATATCTGTGTCAAATATGGTACAAACTTAGATTATATACATAGAGTGTCTCCATACAAATGCTTCGAGAAAAGCGGCTCAACTTTTTCACACAATTTTGTGCGATAAATAGTTATGAATGTTTCTTTTGTAACTTTTATATTTATTTTGTTTTACAATTTTTGCATCTTTTTAATGATTAAAAACTAATTTCATTTATTAAATAATTAAATATAGACACTTCAAGACACATTATGTGCGTAAGTATGTAGAACACTGATATAAAAACGATTCAGCTAATTTGATACTTAGCTAACAAAAAGTTGACGCGTTTTTGAGACTCTATGCTCTATGTATATAATCTAAGGGTACAAAGTAGTGAGCACAGCTGCGTAGCCTATGTCGTGTTCTCATGTACTGTATTATATAAACATTAACAATGTGTCAAGCGCGTGTCATCTATCATATGGATCATTGATATTTACTGGTACCAGCATACTCTGAAATATTAGGGATTATGAACGGCCTTCGATGAACATGGAAAATACATGAGTCATAACTACATTTAATTTAGCTGGCTACGACAATTTCAAATAATAGGGCGCTGTTATAAATTTCTTTTCATTCCATTTTACGCCGATTCTTTGTCATCTGTCATACGTTACATGAAAAGCCGTTGATAAATCACCAATAAGGTACCAGGATCCCAGAACCACACAGCTAGTAAACACTCTAGAACTCGTGTCAGTATAATTACTTGTGTACAAACCAAATTCACCACAGACACCGTAATCCCAGACAATGTTTTGGACCTTGCGGTTGGAGGCTTACAACAGGACAATAACATAATATTTAGTATGGGAATACATCATATCCAATTCAACAACAAGAAAAAAAGGAGCTTCGCTAAGTTAATCAAATGTGGTAGGTATTTAGTTATATTTCCACGGAAGTGGGACCGGACTATTCAGAGGTACGGAGAAAGTTTTTTTTATAAATTTTTTACTATACTCGTACTGTACTATCACATGTTTTAATACTCAAAATTTTTAAGTAGTTTTTAATGTAATCTCAGGAAATAATAATTACAGGAAATAATAATGCATTTATTAATCGATTTAAATAAATTTTGCGTGAAGATATACTAAGGTAAATAAAATTGTTTTTAAGTATCTAAAATGCATTAATTTCGATATATATATATATATATAATACTGAAAACTAGACGATCCCACTTGAGTGAATACATTATAAAGATTAAACGACAACACAAGGATCCAATAGACGAGAGTCGAGAGGAGACGCTAACGCTAAGAGATACAGAGAGAGAGAGACACGTCAGTCCACCCAATCCGCCGGCCTACTAACCTTTGGCTTTTGTGTTTTGACGCGGAGGCTCGACTTGAACAGTGGCTCCTCTTTTTCCGAGGTGGGGGTAGCTTGCGGCTTGTCCACCTTAGCAGCGGTATTTGGCTTCAGTTCGTCTGTGGTGGTCTCAATTTTCGCGACACCCTCCGTTCCCTCCGACTCCTTTACCATTTTATTGTAACAGCAAAACAAAACGGGTCATAAGAAGCGTCCACACGGCCCCGCACGTCACTTCGTGTAAGCGACATCGATCTGAACCAATCGAACATGTACGGACAGCAAAACAACAAAAAAAAAATGGATCTCAAATGACTGTAATTCGGAACTATCTATATAGAATGATCACAAACGTCATGCAGTCGACTCTACGGAAAATATTAAATCTAAACATACGTCACCATCATGATTACTACGGAGTAATTAGTAGAAAGACAATTACCAGAAATTACCAATACGGAACGTGGAGAATGGGTTTAACATGCTACGGAAAATTTTAAGGGATTTTAAAAAGGGGCACGTCGAAAACGGCTTCCAAATAAGACCGGCTTACTTTAACGTTAAATTACATATAATGTAGACAGTTTTATTTCCAAATGTAGTTAACATTGTTTTTTTGTTTCTTTATATTATGAAAGCCGACTTATTCAAAGCCTTATACGACAATTTGTACTAACATTTCTAAATTTGAACCTACGATCTCATGATACTATACCTCGCACAGAAAAATGGTTACATACTCTATAACTGCGCATGCTATCCTTTTCGCACAGTAATAAATCGAATTTAATGACGTAACATGAAGTCCAACTATAATCGGAACAGAAGGATGCCTACCTTCATTGAAGGCGAGTCCAGATCGTTAATAGTGGAGTTGTTTTCGTCGACCACTATCATTGCGTACTCCACATCTTCGCCGTTGTGATCTGTATAGAAATATTACAAATATTACGGATGTAAATGCTATTAGCGTTCCTTATTTTGATACAACACTGACAAAGCTTGCTTTAATAAGCAGGTAGGTAGAGGTCCTACAAGTTGTCGATACTTCGTACTAATTTTATGTTAATTTTGGAATGCTGTATAATCATACTGTACGGAGTAAAATCCATGGCATTATTTTAAAAGAGTATTTTATATTATATTGATATAAAAGGGTACAGTTTTAAATTATACATATGCAGTTGTACCCGTTTGTATCTTTGCTAAGAGAGGGACTGCCTGAGAACTAGTGCTGTGCAGCTGTTCACATTGCACTGGGACACTCACAGCATCAGCTGAGCCGGTTCCTTTTGTTTAATATGAGACACTTCTTATATATAATATTACTGTATTTTCTGTTGTAACTATGTGTTTTTCTAGCAATAAATATTTTCTATGTGAACTGTATAATATCTTTTAAAAATAACTCTAAAAATGGTAAAAAAATTTAAGTAATCCCATACGAATACTTTTTCTTTTTACATTTGGGTTTTTCATTGTAGTTTCTCTTATTTTTTTTCTGATAAAATCACTCTTTTAAATGGTAACCATTTTATTATCATCCAGTTTCTGCAGTACTTATTGCGATTACTACCTATTTATATCAAAATACATGTTCCAAAATAGTATTTATCGACAAATATTTTGAAGTGTAAATGAGGTGTTAACTAACAATTCTCCCAATGATTATACAGTATTCCATTAACGGTAGGGTTATTATCTACCTTATAAAATAACAAGAATATTATTATCTATAGATCTTATTGTAAATTTAACACATGCATTCGAGAACTCATGATTATCAATATCTACGGAATGATTTCGCAACTTATATTTAAGGAAACCAAATCAGAAGCAGTGCTTTAGCTGTGCAGTTTGCTCACCGTTTTGTCTTTTTCACCAAATATATATATATATATATATATATATATATATATATATATATATATATATATATATATATATATATATATTTATATATATATTTATAATGAAAGAGTTAACAATTAAAAATATATATTTCAATTAAAATGTACTTAGAAACAATCTAGTATACAGTTTTTTCGAAAAATTAAATGTGATTTATTATATTTGAAGACAAAACAGTGTGAGGAACATCGACCACGAGATTTTTTCGGTACGTTTGCATCACAATTCTTTAACCATTCACCAGTTGAAAATTTTACATAAATAATTTACAGTCATGAGTGATGGCTCATTTTCATAGTTAACTTGGATGATTTCAGCGAGCGAATCAGTCACAACGCGTCTAAGATAACATAAGTTTAATGCAGGTAAAATTTTTAAGTTTAAAGATTCTGTGATGCCAACGTTACCCCCTTAGCACAAAATGTGCGTACCATAAATAAAATGGAAAAGTTAATAAAAAAAAATCGGTTATTAATTAATTTATGGCGAGTCCTAATTTTTGCGATAAGAGGGTTCCAGTGCTGGGCGTGAGCTGAGACGCAGGCCTATTGACGACGCACACACGATACGAATATAGCTTTTTTTTGTCTCTTGTCATGAATAAAAATCTATCTTTGTCAGAAACACCTATTTGTATTTCATTAGAGCATTGGTGAGTTGCTCAAGGTTATTTCTTTGCAGTTATAATAGACAAGTGTAATAAGATTTGCATATAATACAGGTGAAATCGAATCATTTGTGTCCAGTTTTATTTTTTTTTTGGGAAGTATTCTACGAATGGAAATGACCTTTTTTATTTTCAAAAAAACATGTATCGAAAAAATTTACACAAAAAGTTATGTCTCAAAATTTTTTGGCGTTTTACGGTTCAACATCTTTTGAGCAAAATGTTTAGATTTACTGGTATATAATTCAAGGTGTCACAAAAAAAATGACTTGAATAAAAAAAGCGCCAAAACAAGATCATGTATTTTAATAAAATTTCTATGAGGACAAACTTTAAGTATCTATATCCTTTTAGATAAAAAAGAATTTTCCAAATCGGTTTAAAACTGATGGAGTTATGACGTAACAAACAATAAAAAACAACCTCCACCTTTTTGAAGTCGGTTCAAAACATATCCTTAAAAGGACATTATTATTTCAACCGTTAACTGTCCGCTGTTGGACATAAGCCTTCCCCATAAGGGGAGTTTTTCCAGTAGTTGCCACGCTTGGCAGGTGAGTTGGCAACCACAGTTAGACTTTTAAAAATCTTTTAAGAGGGACGTTGCCTCACTTCTCTCACCCGGAACGGGAGGGGGGGGGGGGGGTAAAAGGACATTAATGACTTCGAATTCACTCTATAAAGCAATTTAATTTTAAATCATCTCCGAGGTATAGGTGATATAAGAGAGGAGATGTCGGAGGCTGCAGTGCAGGGGGGCGGCGGGAGGGGCGGGTGCGTCGTTACCTGCGTGTGCGCGGTGGTAACTAGCGATGCGAGTGTGCGCGTGCGTGTTATTGTTAACGTGGCTGCAGTCGAGCTTGCAGTGAGTGTGCGGGGCGCGGTGCGCGGGGTGCCCACCGGGCAGGAACTGCGGGTACACGTGGTGCGACCACTGCGGGAACAGCGGCCGGCTGCCCGCTGCTGCCCGGCGGTCACGGGATGGGGACGGGAGGGGATCACGTGTAACGTCGCGTGTGTGCCAACGATGCAGTAGTGTCGCAGTGTAGTTAAATGTAGACGATTTTACCAGTGTCCCAAATCGTGACGCGTATATCAAGCGGCGTGAAAAAAGGAGAAACGACACACTTCAGATATACAAGTCTATTAGTATTCCTCAGCACATCGCCGCTGTCAAACATTTAAATCCAACAGATTTTCTATTTGAATAGAATAAAAATTAAGTCTGATATCCAAAGGTAAATAGAGATCAGTTACTTGTAGAGTCAAAAATTAGAAAATTAAATTATTGACGGCGACTGTACAATGACAATAATGATTGAATTATGAAATTTACGTATAGTTTAATTATTATAATATAATACGTATCAATATTAATGAGAAAATTATGATTTGTAACAAGTGCAATGAAGCGTATAAAAGAAGCGAAATAAACAGCGTTTACATATAGAAAGTCTAATAAACAAACCCGACAGTTCTAGAAGTAGTAAAAACAAAAAAAAAAAAAAACGTTTAGTCACATATAGTATAGTTGTTATTATGTATATATTTCTATTTAAAATATATTATATATATATACATATATAAGACAGTGGTTACGATACACGGTAAGTGCTGTTACGTTGTTTACATTGTGCGGCATGAAGAAAATGTATGTACAATTCGTGAAAAACAAAATAATATGCAAGAAATAAATAACAATAATAACTGTTTAAATATTTTATTCTGCGCACAATGTTTAATTTTTAAAAACGATCCGTTTATAATGTATCAAATTAAAAAAAAGAAATTGTTTAAATAAATTTTCAAACAGAAAAAAAATAGAGCATTGCATAATTATACGTCAACGAAACAAGAAAAAAAAAATCAGACCATAGAGAAAGTAATACAAATTTAAAAATCCTAAATTCATGACATAGCAGGATGACTACCCACATAGTCATAATTAAAGTTAGTTTTCTAGTACAAATTCCAAAAATTTCTTAAAAATAAATTTTGTACTTAGATTAATCATAATATCAAGACAAAAAAATTCCCCAAAAATAAAAAAAATAAGATACAACCTTTGCACGACTACGTATGAATATGAAAAATGATTTTTTTCCCCCAAATGGTTATAAGCTATTCACCATGGTGGTCGGCGGCGTGGTGCGGGCGGCGGCCGCAGTCGGCGGCGGCGTGCGGCGGCGGCTCCAGGATGTCGCGGTACTTGGACACCATCAGCACCGAGATGAAGTACACGATCGCCAGCGACAGGAACTGCGCCTGCTTCGTCTCCTCCTGCAAGTTACAGTATAACGCTATTTCATTTTTTAACCAACTAAACCAAAACAGTCACTGTATATTTTTAAACAAACAAAATATGTACACATCTTAGATTATGTAGATATAATGTCTCCATACAAATGCTTCGAGAAAAGCGAGTCAACTTTTTTATACACATTTTTTGTTGTTTAAAATTTTTTAATTTGTAAAATAAACCTATGGGTCACTGCACGTTTTTGGGTACTATAAATGTGGTAATTTATAAATAAATACCACTTTGCATGCTTTTCTTTTATAATTTTTGCATCTTTTTTTGTAAAATTTCATTTTATTTATTAAAAAAATTAAATATAGATACGCCAAGACACATTATGTGCGTAAGTATATAGAACACTGATAAAAAACGAGTCAGCTAATGTGACTATTGGCTGACAAAAAGTTGACCCGTTTTTGAGACTAAATGCTTTATCTATATATTCTAAGGTTTAAATATTACCCAAACTACTCATACTTTACCGAAGTCCCGACATAGAATGTACCACCCTTTCCTTTCCCGTGGGTGTCGTAGAGGCGACTAAGGGGGCTAAATGGTTAAGGGATGGGCAGCAGTGTCCTTGTTAAAACATCACTAAAGCTTAACTGCGGTTGCCAACCCGGCTTTATAATAATAATTAAATATTATTATTTTACAACTGTTGCGGCCTCTTGGACCGGTTTTCTCGCTGGCCGCTAAGACATTCTACAGTTAAAACTGACAGCTCGGGACAAAATAAAAGGACTTAGACAAAAGACCGGAAAAAAGACGGACATAATTTTGAGACACAAATTTGCCTTTTAATTCTTCGACCTTACAAATGGCCCATCGACCTTTCAACAACTATTATATGGTCATTTTATTCTTATAAGCTGAGCAAAAAAGGCGACAAGATATGACGCAGACATATCCACTCTTCTATTTTATAATTACTACTGATTCTCGTGAGGATCTCGTCCTTTGGTGACGGACGGTGCTCCAGTTCGAGTTCGAGTTTTTAGACCTAAATTACTTTACTTAAAACTCAAAATATAGAAAAAAATTAACATTATACAAAAGTTAATGCACATACCACGTCTCTATATATGACGGCCCTCAGTCTATTTACATCCATGTCTTGAAGCAGCCTCTCTGGATCCTTTACGGGACTCGAGCTGTCCGCGAGGCTCGCCACGACGCTCTGTTAGTGAACAGAAAAAAAATATCAAAAGAGACACTCTAGAATATTAAAAAAAAAAAAAAAAATCTGTTTCATTAATTATATATGAAAAATTGATTTTTTGAAAGCAAACTGAAACTGCTATTTTTATGTTGTAAATTATTAGTTGAAGGGAAATAGGATTTTTTTAACCATAATGTACAAGGAGAACATGACGTGTTAACAAATATTTGATTAAATATTTATAGAAATATTCAAAGTGGTAAAAAATACTATTAAAAGGAGATATTTAAAACAACAACCAATTGATACAGAAGAGTCATTACGAGATATAATCTGTTACGTATAACCGTAATACATTCTAATTATACTATAGCTAAGTACATTGTAATTGACATGCAGTTTTAACTAATAAATTCGAGTTGTGTCCTGTAACAATGTAGTTCATGAGAGATAACATATTTATAGGTAGAGATGTAGATAAAATAATGGGAATTATAAATGGCATGCAGATTAAATTAGTATGGGGTCAAAAATAATAATAAATCTTTAATTTTCAGGTATATACCAATAGTTTACAATCATTGTGATTATAATATAGGGGTAAATATTTTTTTATGTCAAAGGTTATTGTTACTGCGTAACATACACACAAAAATGCAATCAAATCAAGATTAGTTTTAGTTATTAATAATAAATTTAATTAATATAATGAAAATCTTATATTTTTGTAACTAAAAAGGATTCTCTTCTATAGCGGTTATTATACATATTTTTCAATAAAGAAATCGGTTTGTTTAAAAAAAGATATAATACAAAAAGTCTTATATTGCACGAAACAGTAGTTTTTGTAAGTCGCACGCACGTATGCGTGTATATAAGTACTTAGTTAAGAGTTAAACTTGTAGGTTTTAATATGATTTCAGGAGAAATACTAAAGTTCAATACGGTGTTTCAGGTGGGGGGTGGTGGTGGGTGGTGGGTGGTGGGTGGTGGGTGGTGGGTGGTGGGGGTGGTACCTGGTGGTGCAAGGCGGCGCGGCGCGCGGGCGGGCGCGCGGCGCAGCGCTGGCGCTCCTTGCACTCGAGGCAGTTGCGCACCGCGCACGTGCACACCTGCGCACACGCACCCACACCTGCACTACACGCCGCTACACCGCGCCTACACGCCTACGCCTACACGCCTACACCACTACACCCGCGCACGCTGTCTCGAACACCGCACTCCTCGTGCTCTCCGCGCGTAACCACGCTTCGTATTGCTTACTTAGCTTTTATTTATTTTATATAATCCATGATACAGTGATAAAAATCTTTTAAAAGCGTTCACCTCTTGGTGCATCTAGATAATTTTTAAAACCTCATTAAAAACATTTGCAAAAATTTAATAGTAAAATTTATACGCACCTTCGTCCCTTCGTTATAGGAAAACTTTTTAAATAATCATTCAGAAATATCATTTACAGTGGTGCCTCGATATATCGTCATAGTCGTAGAATAGTGACGGATCTTTATATGTAATCTTCGTAAGATCCGTCAGTATTCTACGACTATGACGATATGGGTGCCCTAATATACGAGTGTTTCGAGATATGAGCCGCTGAACGACCGATATTTTTAAGATGAGAACAAGATTTGAGATACGAGGAATCGCAGATTACACCGCTGCATACAAACCCAACACATGCGGGGCGCATGTTGGTGTCGTGTGCAGCGTCTAACAGTTTCTCCCACCTTAGACTAGACCTCAGTATGTTTTTTTTTTTTTTTTTTTTTTTTATACAACTTGTTTGCTTGTTTCCCTCGTTTTCGAAGCATTTTTGATAAGTTGAGTTCGCGTTTTTTTGGTTTTTGTACATTTACAAAACCTTATCACATTTATTTTCATAGGTCCAAAGAAGAAAATGATGTATCAATATACATCATTTCAATAATTAAGGCATGAAATCATAGAAAAACATGTGCAAGATGTGCGAGTTATAAATAAATGTTTCTTCTTGTAAATACATTTTTCTTAATTAAAAACAACTGAGATGGTTTTTTGGAAGCTAGAACGGATTAATGGTATTTCAATTAATTTCAATGGAGAAAATTGCTTTGAAATACGAACAAGGTTACGGAACGAATTAAACTCGTATGTCGAGGTACCACTGTATTTCAAATTGATAGAAAACGAAGATTACTAGACTTCAGCACGTGAACGCTTTTAAAAAAAAAAAGTAACAAAATATGCGTATGAATAGTAATAAGGGTAGGAGAAAAACTAAAACGAGACAGATAGACTATGTGAAAAATGGCGAGGTCAAGAAAGTTATTATTAATATAAGTAATTGATAATTATAAATTGAAATTAATGAAAAACAAAACATATATGGTAACCTTAAATGAAAGAACAGAAAAATGTCAATGACGTCATTTAATACAGGCTATGACGAGTCGGTATTCGAGCAACGCAACCATAGAGAAAGAAGTAAATGAAGTAGAGCACAGAAATATATCTATTGTCTATTTTAACTTGCTCTAAAATCTATTTTTTTTTTCTTCTATATTTTAACTATAATAGAAAAAAAAGTTTACAATTAAATTTCTCTAAGCATTCAATTTATGAAACATTAACACAGTACTATGAAGAGATAATAAATTTGTATTGAAAGAATTATCAATAGTAAATTATTGTTTACACAACGTAAAAAGAACTATTAATGTAATAAAAATTAGTCGTGCCATTCTACTGCTAAAAGTTAACCAGCAAATCTGAGTTGTCTATTTTATCACAAACACTAAATGACTACACTACACATCTAAATAATCACGTAGTTAAATTTAACCATTCCAAGAAGAAAGTAACCGAGAAAGATATCGACACTTATGTTTAACAACAGACGACTAGGGTCACATGAATAACAAACAAGTTGCAAGTTAGAATAACACGACCAACTGTACAACGTAATCTCTTTGTATGCCGAGCGCTTACCAGCCTGAGGCACTGTCTGAGTATCCCACCGCTGGACATATTTTTCTCGGCCTCCAGCTCTGCGAAGTTAAGCGCACTCGCGAATATAAGTACGTCCGCCATGCTGACGAGCCGCTGCAAGAAGGTCACCGCCACCTCTACCGGCATGCCTTGGGTCGGCTCGATCACGTCTAGCTCGTTCTGGAATGTAAAACAAAAGTAATATTTAGGAAGGAAATGGATTATGTAAACTATGTACAGATATTAATATTTTTAAATGGACTGTAAAAAGAAAGTTCTGAATTCGGTTGTGTTTTTTTTTTTGTTACACAACTTCGTCAGTTATAAACCGAATTGGAAAATTATTTTTCTATCTGAAAGGATATACTTATAGATTGGTCTTAGAAGTTTTATCAAAAACAGTTCAGTGGTTTAGTTTTTAAATGAAAAACAAATGGTTTTACTACAATTGAAGCCGGTTTTTTTATGGAACTCAAATTGTTAAATGTTACAATAACGGTATCTATATTAATCAATGCATTAGATTAGAAAATCCCTTAGATTAGATAATTATTACTGTTGCTATTAATCTAAGAGAGCATACATAAATTCACATAATAAATAGCTCACCAAAATAGGTAACAAGATTTTAGCACTACCAAAAAAGTTGATGTCTAAATATGCTGCAATATATACTTTTAAAGATGAACCTATGTGAAGAAAAACCTAAACTAAACATACATTGGGTGAAGTCGCTGACGCAAGAAGAGGTAACAGTCCACCGCAGGCGATAATCAAATTATCCGCCAGTTGACTAATGAGATGCACCGTGTTCACAACGAATATGGCGTTTTCACTGCTGTTCACGAAGTCAATCACTGACTTCGTCGAATGACTTCTCCAAACCTGAAAACGGGAAAATCGTCTCATGTGATTAAGTGCTATTAGTTATTAAACAAATGAAATATTAATGGTAGAGTATTGTTTACCTGTATATCTGTTTCAAGTGAGAATAATACATCAGAAAGTAATCTTTGGTGTATATAAGACCACCTAAATTCAGGAATACGAAATGGCGGTCTCGTTGGACCCGGCGAGAACATAGGCCGAGTGCAAGTCGATGGTCGTTTTGTCTCTGAAAAATACAGTATTTTTTTTTATATAATAATAAATATTAACTGAAAAGTAATTCTCGTTTACTTCCGACTATAATCTCATATTTACCAAAATGATTCGAGTCCACTTGCGTACTAGTGGATGCACTTCGCGGCCTCTTTGGTGATGTCGATGTGTTAGTACCCTGTGTAGCTACACCATCATTTCTATTGCCATCTTGCTTCATTTCATTATCACCAGGTAGACTTACGCGTCTTTTGTCTCTTTCAATCTCACGATTTCTTTCTTCTTCATTCTCTTGTTCTTGTTTATTAGCTAATGAGATATTCTCACTAATCGTCGAAATGGGAGGGATAACAGGAGTCTTCTGCTCGTCTGATACTGGTATTTCTATTCTTTGGCTTTCATTCTTTGCATTTTCTTCAGACACATTGCTAGTTATATCAGTTTCTCGCTTTTCTGACTCGTCTTGTCTTGAATTTACTAAAAATTCTCCATCAAGAGGTAAAACATTGCCTTCATGTGGATGATCAGATGGTATTACTCTTTGTGGACTATTATCATCTGTCGTACTGGGCACTGTTTCATTTGTCTCTTCGCATTTCGTCAGAACCGAAGAAATAACGTCATTAATAAGGTCATTTGCTATCGACTCGGCAGTTCTTCTCTCGTCAATAATTTCCTCTATCTCCTGCTCAAAGTCATCTCTTCCATTAGGAGTATTGCCTTCGGAATGTAACCCACCAGAGATAGCACCGGAATCCGTATCATCGTCAGTTTTTAATCTTACAGTTTCTAAAGCAATCGTCAATACGTCATTTACAATATTTATTGCGATGTGTTTCGGGTCGTCGCTTCCAACTCCATCTGGAGCATTATTTTCAGTCTTATCTTGTGTTTTCTTAGGACTAGTCGCTTCGCTCGGAGTTAAATATAACTCGGACGGATCTGACAATTCTGATTCTCTTTCAGTCGTTATATTTAATTCTGCGACCCTCTCGGGACTCGCGGTTTCACTAGCGGACAAACTCGAAGGGATACCTTCACTCTTGTCTGTGTTGTCATCTTTTAACACGACATCTCCCACGTCTCTAACGGGGATGTAGTCGAGGCTACCTTGTCGAGTCAAGGGCTTCTCCGTCTTCTCCGAATTTTCTACCGTTTCGAATCCGGACTCGGTGCTTTCTAGGAGATTGGTTTCATTAATAATAGATTGCACTAATTCGTTATCGGGATTGAGTAACTTCTCCTCGGTGGCGGGCGGTTCCTCGTCGACCGCGTGCTCGATTTCACTACTCGTACATTTAACACTATCACAACCGTCGACTCGGGGCACTTCGGTATTTACAGTCTGCTTAACAGGGCTATGCACTTTACACACTTCACTGTAGAGCACCTGTGTAGTCCGGCCGTCGCTGTCGTCGGTCTCACCAGAGCTCGTGCAGCCGCACGGCTCCACCTCCCGGAGCGAGAGGCCGCCGCCGATCTCGGTCTGCGCGGCGTGGTGCAGCGCAGCTGGCGCGACCGTAGCGGTCGGCGCGGTCGGCGCGGCCGACACGGGCGGCGTGTTCGGACGCGGCCGCGGCGGCCGCTCCCAGCCCGAGATGGTGGAGATGGGCCGCTGCTGCCGCTCCGCCGGGTCCGTGATGTTGTCCGCGCGCCGCTGCTCGTAGTGCTCGTACATTTGCGCGAATTGCAGCTTGAACTCTTCATACGACACCTACAAACACAATATATTTTGCATTAATCAATTTCATTTATAACTCCTGTCGAAAATGACCATGACAGGAGCATGACCATTTGGTGATGCATAGTTACCTAAGCACTACTAGACTAGTGAAGTAATTTAGTTTAGCCAAACCATCTTTTGTGCCATTTATGGATTTACGTATTTCTGTGCTATATTTTGTTTTATTACTACTAACTACCCGTTCCGGCTTTCGCACGAGCAGTAGAGTATATATTCTTACATTTTTTGCATCAGCATGTTGCGCCGAATATGAATTAGATAGGTATAGTAAGTTATCCTTAAAACATAGACATAGGTCATCGCAGACTTTTTTATAAGCCTATAAATCTCAAATTTGATTAGACAGCGTTTTTGAAGAAAGCTCTCAACTTGATTTCTTCCGACATCTTGAACAATTATCGTCATATTTCAACAAATTAACACAAAACTATTATTACACTATACATACGTAAGCATACGTATGAACGATGCCATTCTAACTTGTTGTTTCCGTAAAATTGGCTCACAAATTTTTATTTATAAATCACCGTGTCTCGATAATCTCTTATGGACTCCCGCGATACAGGTTCGCCTAGTGCGAGGTCCAATGAACTAACACTGTAAATTTCTTGCATTTAATAAATAATATAAAAAATAAGTATAAACCTGTTACCTAGAAGAGCTCGCTATTTAGCAATAAGACCGCTTATTATTGCCTCTTTACTTTGCTTCTTGTAATTAAGTTTTTTGTGTACATATTGTTAACTCATGTAATCTATACCATGTTTTAAGGCAGTGGTTCCCAACCAGTGGTCCATTGACCACTAGTGGTCCGCAGAAGCTAAAATATGGTCCGCGAATGATTTTAAATTTACCGGGCTGTAAGCCATTGGTCGCCGTGCAATGACTTATTTCTTCTTATGTAATTTCCTATTGAGTTTTTAATTACAGTTTCAATTTGATTATTACAGTATATTTTTATTATGCCTACATAGTGGTCCCTACTAACAAAAATAATATAAAAATGGTTCCTAACCAAAAAAAGGTTGGGAACCCCAGCTTTAAAGTGAACAATAAAGTTTTTCGTACATTCATTAATTTGGCTTATATTGAGAAAATAAATAAAAAAAAAAACTAATTTCTATTTTTTAATTGTTTGTATGACATCGATATAAGAAGCAGTTGTGTGGTCACCTTGGAGTGGACGATGGCGAGCGTGTCGACCCAGACCCGCCAGCCGCCGTACTCGTGCTTGATGGCGTGGTGCAGCAGCATCCGGAACAGCGAGTACACCATGTCCGAGATCTTCTGCTCCTCCGCGCTCTTCGGGTGGATGTAGGCCATCGCTATGAGCCACTCCTGCAACACCATGAATCATCATAATCATCATATCAACCGTTATGTGTCCACTGCTGAACGTCCACTCTTTCATAGACTGTCATAATGAACCCCATAACTTTAGTAGTTCTCTAGTTTAACTTTGGATTTTGGCAGTTGTTGCAAAGTTTGGTAAGTGAGTTGACAACCGCAGTCTGGCTTTTAATGATGTTTTAAGAGGTATGGTGTTGCCTATCCCTCGATTATTTAGTTTTTTTTAGTCGCCCGTTACGACACCCACGGGAAAGTAAAAGATGGCCAGTTGTACTCAGGGAATACCATAACTACGTTGTCACGATAAGTAACACATAATAAGAATAGTCACTTGGGATAATCTGCGCCAATTTTGAAATATTCATGAACAGCCGGTGGTACGAAGTGTACAAATTTAGTTTATATTGCTTTCTTATATTGGATCGACAGGGAATCGTATTTACGTAATAGTACGTTACTGCAGCGGCCAGCAACTGAGGCATTGATGGACGAACGTGCAAATGTGGGCCGAGGCGTAGCCGAAGCACACATACGTGAGTCCATCAGATGCTACTACAGATGTCAGTTACCTATAGATGTAACATCCATATAACTTTTATGGATTGCCATTCCTGGGAACTAATATAACATTATATAATATGTCTCCGTACCATGTAATTTTACTGCCATATGCTATCCACCGAATTAAAACACAGCCATGCAAACAGTTTTAAATTTGAATGGGAAGGGATTGTTAGTAATGCGGACTACCAGTCCCATTGCTAGCAATATACCCTGTCAAGATGACCTCCACGTGGTCTCCTGGAAACCATCGTGCTGATTTCCAGGTTTATTCATCACAATGGGCTAACAGAACCACCTTTTCATTCTCACTTATCATCCCTTACTGGTGCCCCACCAAAGGATGGACACTACCTGACCTGCTTTTTCATTCTCACCTATCATTCCTCACTGGTGCCCCGCTAACGTATACCGTTAGCGCACGGAGTTATCATTATATTATCATCCATTTGTTTTTAAATGCATCTTTAAAGCAGGGAAGAGGGAAGGGGGCGATTTCTCACCTGCCAGACAGACATCTGCAGCACGGTGCGCCTGTTCTCTCTGTTGTTGCTGCACAGCAGCGTCATGTCCGATAGGAACAGCTTCTTCACCTCCAGCAGCTGCTCTGTCTGTTTGGACTGGCGGATCAGTGTCGCCACCACTTTTAATATCACTGCGGACAACACAACAAATTAACATCATATCAGCTTTTAACTGCTGATTTAACTGTCCACTGCTGAACAGAGCCTGCCCGATAAGGGGGTTTGCCATTAGTTGCCACGCTTGGCAGGCGGATTAGCAACCGCAATTAGGCTTTAGAGATGTTTTAAGAGGGATGCTGTTGCTTATCCCTCGCCGTCTTTTAGTCGCCTCTTACGACACCTACGGTAAACAAAGGGGTGGCTTGTTCTATGCCGGGACCACACGGACAACAAATTATACTAGGGTCGAATTTTGAATTGATATCTGTGTTGTTACATTTTAGAGTTTATTATAAAAAATAGAAGAAAAAAAGGCGTATTTATATTTTTCTAAACAAGACATTGTGTTATTTTTTATACTACTTAGAATGGCAAACAAGCTGACGGCCCACCACGGCCCACGGCTGATGGAAAGTGGTAACCGTCGCCTGTAGACATGAGCAGTACCATGGACATAACAGAGTATACTGTTTCGCCCATGACACCCCCCATGCGTTGCCATTCCTGAGGACTCAGGTGTTATTCCTCTGTACCCAGTATATTCACGCCGTATCCCACCATTTAAACCGAAACACAGCCATGCAAACACAACTGCTTCACGGTTGAAACACGAATATTTATGATTTTTTGTAGTGCTGTGTCACCGCGGCACGTGTGTTAAGAATTTTGTATATCTTGGCAGGATCCTTACTGCACATTTACTTTGCGTTTACTTCAGTGGTGGGTGCGTTCAGAGCGATACGTTACTGGGGTTCTCGAGTCGGAAGTGCGGCTGCGGCTCCGGGTGGCTGGTGTAGAGTATCTGCTGGCCGACGTGCTCGGTGAGCAATTCGTACAGCGCGTTGTACACGGGCAGCGCCAGGCCCTCGCCGCTCGCGCCCAACCGCGTCGCCAGCAGCGTGTACAGGTTGTGCGGCGACATCACGTCGTACTTGCGTCTGTGGACAGATATCACCTCATTATTGTTTACATACATTTTTTTATACAACTTAGAATGGCAAACAAGCTGACGGCCCACCTGATGGAAAGTGGTAACCGTCGCCTATAGACATGAGCAGTACCATGGACATAACAGAGTATACTGTTACGCCCGTGATACCTCCCATGCGTTGCCATTCCTGAGGACTCAAATGTTATTCCTCTGTACCCTGTAAATTCATGTCATATCCCACCCTTCAAACTGAAACACAGCAATGCAAACACAACTGCTTTACGGTTGAAACACGAATGGGACAGAGGTACCCAAGCAAACGACTTTTGTACGAAGTCTCCCTCTTTGTTTGTACAAAGTATTGGAATACTTTTTTTTATACAAAAATCAACAGCTCTTAAAAACACAACTTACATGCTAAGTCTCTTATAAATACAGCCAATAACGGATTTATTGTATTGTTAAAGTTATAAACAGCATCTGCGTTTTATTTCTGATCATTTTAAAAATATTTTGCAACTATACCACTATTTATAACTGTATGTATGTATCAACCGTTAGCTGTCCACGGCTGAACAGAGCCTCCCTCGTAAGGGGAGTTTGCCAGTAGTTGCCACAATTGGCAGGCGGGTGAGCAACCGCAGTTTGGCTTTGGACGCTGCTGCCTATCCCACGCTCTCCCATAGTCGCCTCTTACGACACTCACAGAAAAGGAAGGGGTGGCCCATTCTATGCCGGGACCTACACGGCGTATAATTGTAAGCGGTATTTATTTAATTTCATGACATTAATTTAAACAGCTTCACGATGTGAGACATGAAACAGCTTCTCGGTGTTCATGCAACTAATTTCACGCGAACGTAAATTCGCGCTTTGAATTCATCGCATTGCGAACGCGATGTAATTAGCATCATGTAAGCGGTTACACACAAACATTGTAAACATACATACATGTACGCGACGCCTATCTCGTATTGGGGTACGCAGAAACAATGGAACGCCAAACGCTTTCATTCAAACAGATCTCTTCCGCTTCCTCCACATTCATCAATCTGTTCATACACGCTCGCCGGTTACGGGTACACCATGTTACAATACCATATTATTTCTACATATAATATACTAGCTTCGTAAAGGTGAATTTATTAAAAAAAAAGTTTAATTAAAATGTTATAGTATAACTATCCATACAAATATAAAATTTTAAAAAGTTAAACATACGGATGGTGACTTTGTTTTTACTATTTATAATTAAAGATTGTGTCCCACAAAAAATACATACATACATACATATCTGTCACGTCTGTCTCCCATTAGGGAAGGCAAAAACAATGCAACGCCAAATGCTTCGATTCAAACTTTCGCTTCTTCCACATTCATCAATCTTTTCATACACGCTCGCCGGTTACGGGTACTTTTAATTTGGCCCTTCTTCAGCACGTCGCCTATTTGGTCGACACACGTCCGTCTAGGGCGGCCCCTACCGACATCTCCATTCATTCTTGCTCGATAAACCTCTTTCGAAATTCTTCTTTCATCCATCCTCTCCAAATGGCCAATTCATTTACCACAAAAAACCATGCTTTATTTATGGAAAAACCAGTTATTTTCTTGTAAAAACTAAACTATTAAACCAATTTGATAAAAATATCCATGGAACTTACCTAAGCAATAATTCAACCAATATAAGTAGTCTTTACTTAGTTATAAGACTGAGTTATAAGGTAAAAAATATACAAAAAACACAATCAAATTGAAAACCTGCTTCGTTTTTTGATGTCATAATGTAATAAAAACACATAAAATGCAATACAACTATTCGCTCGATACAAAAGTATGTAACTATTTTAAAAATAAAATGCAATTAATTCTAAATAATGTTGGACTCACTTGTGTGTACTCCTGCTCAGGAAGAATCCAAGCAGCTTCAAAGCTTGAAGTCTTATTAGTTGACTTTCCGACGAGAGCAACTTGAATATGGTTCGTACACCGCCCTGTGTGTACAGTACGTGGAGTTGATTAGTATTTACCTTATTAAAACAAGTTATTAGTACGTTGTACGCAGTGATATTAGAAAACTAGCTTCAGCCCGTATTTCTGATTTCACACGCTTTAAAATAAAAAAAAAAAAGAATTAAATAAATCACTTCTAGACAGTATATCAGGATAAAACATATACCAAATTTTTAATTCGACCTTCAGGCGCTTCGGGCTTCAGAACAGTGAAAACTACATCCAATTTTGTGTAGTAATCGTTGTTTTCCATGATGCCGAAACAAATATACAGACAGACAAAAATAAAAATAAATGTTGTTAAAAAATATAATATGTATACATATAACATTTTTAAGCATTGTTCTTCCTTTTATTGCTGTCTAAGATTTCTCACATATTTTTTTCTTAAATATCTTTTATGTACAGACGTGTAAGTTACAATTTTATTTCATGTATATATATATTTATTAAACTCACTTTGGCATCGAAGGCTGGCACCATCGAGCTGGGATGCTCCGACATAAGCGATATTAGCATTTGTAAAACGTCGTGCAGGTTTTCGTCCTGAAATAAAGATGAGTATACAGGGTGAAAGCAAAATTAATATTTTCCACCTAAGTTGACAAATTGCGGTAAGTAGATGCATCCAGAGGTCTCGAAGACTATTCCTTGTGGCAGCCTATAGAGCTGCCTGTTCAGCAATGGATAATAAATGAGACTGTAATTTTACTTATTTATTTATTTATTTAGGTTTACCAACAATTGTTTCCACAAAATAATGTAAATATATATACAATTATGGAGCTTAGAACTAAGTGTAACAATTTTTTATAGGCAAACACAGCATACCATATATTGATACATTTATAACAATAAGTACGGAGAAATATATATATATAGCTTACAACTATTATTAAATGCTTAACAACCAACAACTAAAGTTGTTTTGTAAGAGAGGGACTGGCTGAAAACCAGCGCTGTGCAGCTGTTCACATTACGCTGGGACACTCACAGCATCAGCTGAGCTGGTTCCTTTTGCCTAGTATGGGACACTTTTTGTATATGTCATTTATATTTTATATTGTAAGTTTACTGGCAATAAATGTTTCTATTCTTATTCTATTCTTCTAAAACCACCATATCCATAAGCAGATCCAGCAGCATGACTCATTTTATATATTTATAGATATTTCGTACAAAAACAATTGGAGTATCAAAATTAATATTGACTTGGTCACTGCAGCTATTTATAATCTTACAGAACCTTACTATTGGAGAATTACTACCCAGAACAGTTCTTCTAAATGGAGGTATTAGCGGAGTTATAGGTCCACGAGGTAATCTAGAATCTTATACTTTTTATACCACAAATATTAGCTATTAATGTAATTGTTTTCTCTTAGATTTCTCCGATAAAATCTTTACTTCAGAGCGAACAATAACAAGAAAAATACAACAAAACAAACATCTACATACAATTAAAGTAAGAAATAGTTGGATAATAAAATAGTCATACCTCATGCATAGTAGTGAGATAGTTGAGTATTGATTGTAGCTCATCTTCCTTCACACCGTTGCCGATCATGATCAGCTGCTTCAAAAAAAGCAAAATGTACGCTCGAATCGTGAGGATGTCCTTGTGTGCGGGCCGTGGGCCTTCTGCAATTTTTTAAATAAAGAAATTTTTAAAGTAAATTACTAGGAAAACATAGACAACGAGGAACTTAATCATACGATTCGCGACATAAAACTAGACGATATAAAACTAGAGACATTATCAGGTGCTGCTAATTTTTGTAACATGAAAATCTTAGGTACTTAGTAACTCACTTACTGGTTCACTGCCATATCTCATTAAATTCATATAATATTAGCACGATGCCTGGCAGAATTAATATGTGACGGAACATATTAAGTAAAACAAAGTTTCATTCTAGTAAAATTAATGTAGGAAATGTTGTATACAAAGTACCTAAATTAGACATAATTGGATTGCTTGATTTAATGTTTTCACAAGGAACTAAAGTAAAAATGCATTATTTCTGTAGTCTCGTGAATAATATCGAAACTTCCTGGCAGAGAATAAACAATTCGAGAGATAATGACTGCCGTATCATAAGATCTAAGTTTGCATTTGACAGAGATAAATTCGGAACGTGGCGCTGTAGAACCAATTTAATTGCCGTTTCCGTCGTTCACCGGGTAATATGGCGGCCACAAATCATTTCACAATTAGTTGGTGGCATTAACAGAGTTTTTATGATTAGGTTAATTTGCCTTTTTATTACGATTGCTCCGTTATAAATTAACATAAATCCTTACCGAGTCCCTTGGGCGTGATTCCGCTTTTCGCCCTCGGATTGACGACCCAGTAGTAGAATTTCAAGGTGTGCACGGTCTGAAGAACTGTGCTGACTCTCCTCACGCTGCCGTATATGTGAGCGTCGGCTAGAAAGTCCGTCGCCAGGTAGCAGTACAGCCTCGCCTGGACCGCCGCGGGGGTGTGTATCCACAGAGCGGGATTGAACAGTATGTGGTCCAGCAGCTGCCAGGTGAGGAAAGATTGGCAGAAAGACTGCGATTAGCATAGACTTTTTACTGTCCGATGGTTGATAGCGTACTGCTCTCTTGCTTGCGGGAGGTTCAGGAGTATCTCCATTAGTGTCTTACAATCATATCTCTAATAATTATTTGTTCTTACTGTAAGGGTTTGCGAACTACGGTCCCATAGTGATATTGAACGTTGGAAGAATCAAACACTTTTTTTAACTAAAAATAAATATATTTTTTAAATTAATGTAAAAAAGCAGTGTGCTGTAAGGTGTAGATTTTGAGTCTAGTCAGAGAAATTTGTTGCCAATATTCTAGTAAATAAATCGTGGTTATATATTAACTTATTAATTTTAATAAATTACACAATAATACTCATATTTATTCGTGTCCAATACATGAAAATCTTAACGAAGTCGAAAAACTAGCCCCATATTGTGGTGGCTAAGCATGAAGCGCTGAAGTGTAAAGAAGCTCTGTGTATTTTTAAAATATATATTGCCTACGCACCGAACCCGTTCTGTACTAACATTTGTGCACTATTGTATTCCTTTGTAACTAAACTGCATGTGAAAAATAATAACACTTAAACTCTTGAAGCGAGGGTCACCAAAACTCCATGTAACCTGAGACGCTATCTCCGTAACAATAGTCAAGTTTCACCACGAAATATGTATACGGTTATTTCAAAAGAAATTCAATAATTAATATATTTCGAGAAACTTCCGACTATCGGTAGGAGTTTGTAATTTTCTTGTAAATTCATTATTCATAAACAAAGGGCGTGTAAAGTGTAAGGGTAAGGCTACTCTGAATCACTTCAATTCACAAATTTCACCTCCACATCGATAAAAAGCATTCACTTTAAAGTTACTTCAATCGAAAAAGTTTTAAGCGCTTGATTAACAAGCACACGAAATGAGTACTTAAGTAATTGAAGGGATAAACATTTGTGAATTAAAAGCTTAATAAGAATATAAACAAACCTCTTCAACATCAAAACAACTCGACACTTGGCAAATAATAACTTTTATCATACTCTCAAACTCTATAGAGGAAAATTAATATTGTTAGGATTGTCGTGTTAACTTGACATTAAATTTATATTAAAAGATATAAAGAAATAAACACGAGTACGGGAGAATGGTTGCGAGTTGTAAAGATGTTATATACAGTGTGTTTGTATCCCACGCTAGTAGGTAATTGTAGTGCAGAAAAGTATTGTATCAGAACAAACAGTCGAGGTGGAAGCAAGAGGAGCATGCGCTAACAACCATCGAACGAAACTTAACAATATAGGTAGGTAGGTAGGTAGGTACACGAGTATATAATCAATTCACTTGACGTGCGAATACCAGTCAGCCCCCTTCGCGATTGATCACCGGTAATGACAGAAGATGATAAGTAAGGCGAAGCTGATTTCCACATAAATTGTACAGCCTAAACTGAACATTACCAGGCAATTACAATCGCGAAGAGGTAGTACATATTTTACACAGAGGACGGGGCACCAGAATTTACAGTGTAACTTCTCCAAAGGCCTCTAAATCGATAGGAATATAAAGGACTTCTTGCAAAGTTGCAAACATTAAGAACCATTTCAATACTGATTCAAATACAAACTACAATAATATAATATTGATTTCAGCTATAAAATGGCTCTTAAATATTTATATAAATTAAAAAAAAAATGTGAAATATAGAATAACAGCATTAAAATTTCGTATACCACACAGGTTTAAAATAAGCTAAAAGAAACTGGTCTCACAAAAAGTGAAGTGGGCGCAGAGTAGTAAATTAACAAAAAACCCGACACCCAACTATAGCCAGTTGTTTGTACACAACTAGCAATGATTATTGCAATCAGCTGCTATCATTTTAAGTAATATCTCCATATAAGCTGAGAACTTGGTGTGATGAGATGCTCTAATATTGTGTGCACTAAATGCGAAGATTCATTTAATTCATCTTCACGCATTGCGCGCCCCACAAGCAGTGCCCCATTGATTCGGAAAGCGTTTCTGTTTTAATTATCATACTTTTATTATATTTAACTATTTTTGTTCACTTTATTGTCTCAACCGAGATAAGACAAATATATATTAACATGAAAACTTAAGACTTAACATAGCTTCATAATAAATTTCTGCAAAATAGCAATTTTCTTAGTTATTTATGAGATGTAATACCTCTCTCATCCACTTTAAAACGCACGTAATTATGGAAATATCCATGGTTTAATAGTAATATTATGTTGTAGTTAGACGATAAAAACAAAATTTACGATGCTGAAATGAAATCTACTAAACTGTATAAACATATTATATACAGACGTTAATTAATATATCTACATAATGGTATCTTTTGTACGCAAGATAATAACTTGGCAGGAATATAAATTACAAGGAAAATTGGTCTTGTTAAAATAATGTCTTGTTTTGAGTTGTGTTTATTTAAACAAAATTAATTCACATATAGCAGTGATTTTGAATAATTATTCTAGATTAAAAACATACCTGTTTGAGTAGTAAATCGGAATTAGGAGAGCAGCATGTCACGAGATGTTTCGTTAGATGCAGAAATGACGCTAGCGTGTCTGGGGTGAGGTGGTCCCGACTGCACCGCTGCAGCATGTGAGAGATTACCAGGAAACCACGACACTGAAGCATGTGTTGCTGTACTGTGCTGCACGACTCTACTAGGGAGCATACGAAGCCGAGCAGTTTCGAGCTGTGAATTGAATTGTTCGAAAATTATTTCCTTTGCATTAAGTACAATTTGAATTATTTAAAATATAATAATAATAAACTCTTTATTGTGCACAACAGAGGTGTATACAAGGAGTATTTATTCAGGAGTACAGAATGTATATATACAAAAGGCGGCCTTATCGCTAAAGGCAATCTCTTACAGACAACCTGGAAATATGTAGCTAAAACATTTTTTTAACCAAAAAATTAAAACCATGGGCGTCAAGATATGACCAGTTTGTTTAATTACTTTAATACGCTTTTAAATAAATGCCGAAAGGACAGAGTTTTCAGATTAATGTCTGTAATATCTTTATCTGTTACAAGTTTACGTAAAATACGAAACAAAAAAAAATAGAAAAGATGTACTTAGAATATTTTTCAATTTTTATTTAAAAAACCTTAATAACAGTAAAACATATTTGACGAATGTAAAGCGAGAATTGTTCTTAATTTACTTAACACAATTATACTACTTTTCTAGTAACATTTTTATCGAGACAGTAATTTTATTTAAGATAAATTTGGCAATTTCCTTAAAATTTTTGCAAGTTTGTACAAAAAATATAAACAAAAACCATCATATTTCTGATGTAAAAACAAAAACTCCTCTAGGTCGGAGGTGAAGATATTTTCCAATTGTCTCAAAAGTGTACGAGTCGCGTTTCTCAGACGTTTAAACAATACAATGATCCTCAAATCCGTGTAGTGACTCCCCAAATCGCGTTTCAGTTGTCAGTCGGGCGGTGGCTCATTAGGTGACATTAGAACATACCCGTGTGCATAAATTGAATCCCGCATCACCTTTGATGTGAGTCGGTATTAAACCAGATTTATCCGTGTGACACGGGTCGTCGGCGCGAACTCTTTGAACTGTCAGCGGCGACTAATCGTCATAGGTATTTGTGTAAAATGTATGCGAATTTATTTATACCTTCGTATTAATTAAGTACTTAATAAAATTACACCTACAGCGGGGGATAGTTATAGAAAACGGCTACACGTAAGAGAAACGACGTACCGCTGTAATATAAGCCTCCGCCTTGAGTGGGTTTTGCCAGTAGTTGCCACGCTTGGCAGGCGGATTGGCAATCGCAGTCAGGGTTTTAGAATTGTTTAAGAGGGATGCTGCTGCCTATCCCTCGCCCTCCCTTAGTCGGCTCTTACGACACCCACGGGATAGGAAGGGGTGGCCTATTCTATACTGAATATGTGACGTGAATTTACTGGGTACAGAGGAATAACACCTGAATCCTCAGGAATGGCAACGCATGGGGGGTAACATGGGCGAAACAGTATACTCTGTTATGTCCATGGTACTGCTCATGCCTATAGGCGACGGTTACCACTTTCCATCAGGTGGGCCGTCAGCTTGTTTGCCATTCTAAGTTGTATAAAAAAAAAAAAATACTGTGACCACGCAGCCATTATATATAAATATGTTTAAATATAAATTATAATATGTACTTGTACAACTATAACCATAGATAAACCTTCATGAATATTAGTTTAATGTTTTGATAGATAATTTAATAACGAGTCATCCGGGCCATCCCTGGGCTTTTACTAATAAATGGGCTCCGCAAAATGTCACCAATAAATCTACTTGGCTAAGCGAAGTCGACACTAGGCAATTAGGAGTTGCGAGGAGTTAGTTCATAGCTCCTATTACTCACCCGTTTTGAGTTGGGAGCCGAGTTACAGAGATTTTGAGTCTACAGTGAAAGTGCATTTAGCCGGCTAATGTGACTGAAGCTGCTACTTAGAATATTAATGATCGCATTTCAGACCCGAGTCGCAAATTTGAATTCGCTTACGTGTAGCGTTCGAATTCCATTGAAACTTTGTGCCAAAGCCTAGGATGTGAAATAACAGTGCCAAACTAACACTGCACTACCAGAACCAAAGATTAAACTTTAAGTAAATTCCAAATGTCCTATGTAATCCTCGTAGTAATGTTTTTTCTAGGTAATAAATGCAAACTAGCTAATATTTTTTTATGCAACTTAGAATGGCAAACAACCTGACGGCCCATCTGATGGGAAGTATAAGTTATACACATATGTCACTTACCAAAGCATGGGATCTCGTTTGGGATCAGTAGCTGGTGCATCGTGTGGCAGATCTAACTGTGCAAAGAGCGGGAACAGAACCTGTACTCCACCGATCGAATTTAACGCACTATGGATGGAATGCGTTACGACAGCTTTCACCTCCTAAAGTATAAAAAAAAATGCATATATTTTTTACTGCGCTAACGGCATTTTAAAAGGATCACAACGCTCCCACGTGTACCAGGAACGCATAAAATACAAGGTGTAATTACCTGGAGCATCAACGCATGGGGTGTGTGCACGAAATACGAGACATTCCCCTTAGGCGCCGACTGTAGGCACAGCTGTCCATCTGTCGCCACCGGGTTGTACATGAACACAATGGCTGAAGACAGTTTGCCATCGTATAACACCTGCGCGAGAAACGACAATTTTAGTATTATACAATAAAATAATCAATAACTTTATAAGTAATATAATTGCATTATAAATTCAAACACACAGATAATTTTATCACATAATTATTTCTAGGATTTGACACAATAATAAAGCATCTATGAACACATTTAATATGAGTACCATAAACAGTAAAGCTTTAACTACAAAAAAATGTTATAACAACTATTACATTAAATCTTTAAACCAAACATTAGCTACAACTTACAACGCATGCAGAAACATACCCACACTGAAATGATGTAAAGTCAAATGTATGTTATTACAGGACACCTGTCTCTTATATATATAATATACTATTCACAAAAATATTAATAATAAATTATATATTAAACTTATATATTAAATGATAACTTATATATTAAATGAGAATTTATATGATACGATGTGATATTTGATAGAGAAAATTTATTATTCCTTAATATATTAACCTAAAGAAAAATTGGATTCACTGTTTATAGTTTACGCTCAATATTCATAAAAGCACTCGAATATACTTTCAAGTTATATAATATGGTTATGAAAATAGCAAAATTTAAGATTGTAACTGAACTTTAAAAAAAATACCTTCAGATCTTAGATTATTTATATAATTTCCATAGAAATGCTTCGAGAAAAGCGGCTCAACTTTTTCATACAATTTTGCGTGATAAATAGTTATGTTTCCTTTACAACTACTATATTTAATGTGTCTTATAAATTCTGCACCTTTTTAATGCGCAAAATCTCATTTTATTTATTAAATAATTAATAATAGATACGTCAAGATATATTGTTTGCGTAAATATATAGAACCTTAATAAAAAAAAACGAGTCAGCTAATTTGACAATTAGCTGACAAAAAGTTGTTCCGTTTTTGTAGCTCGATGCTATATCTATATGATCTAAGTCACAGATAAAATAAATTTACTATTTATCGACAAGTTTAGTGCGAATTGTACAAAGATTTACGACGCGATTACGTTGACAACAACAAGTTTGTTTGAGTTGGAAGCAGGTAAATTGTCAATACAAATAATTTATGTATTTACTAACACATTAATATCAATTTGTACTAAACTCTTTGCTTGGGTACCTCTGTCCCATTCTTGTTTCAACCGTAAAACAGTTGTGTTTGCATGGCTGTGTTCCAGTTTGAAGGGTGAGATATGGCGTGAATTTACAGAGAACGGAGGAATAACAACTGAGTCTTCAGGAATGGCAACGCATGGGGGGTATCATGAGTGAAACAGTATACTGTGTTATGTCCATGGTACTGCTCATGTTTATAGGCGACAGTTACCATTTGCCATCAGGTGGACCGTCAGCTTGTTTGTCACTCTAAGTTGAATAAAAAAAAACTCACGCTATGCACTCAAAATGAACCACAGTGCCTGATTACGAGGACGAAATGATTAAATTCAATTCAGCTACGATTATAACACACATTGATCGTTTAGTGACGCTCAAATACTAGGATCTACCATGAAATAAAGTTCCTAATTTTCACACAAATTTCATGTCAGCGTCCATACCGAAATCGGCCCAGTAAATGGAGCTTAAAATTTCGTATGTCATAAATCCTACCATAAAAGTCCAAAGGAAAGATATTTTAATATGTATGTATTAATGTAATTTTAACATAAAATTTGTGTTTCGTTCGGCCCCAAAGATTCGGTAATAATTTCATGGTAGACCCTCTGAGAACGTAAAGCGAGCGAAATAGACATTACAGGATACAAACAAGAAGCAAGCTGATAACGCACGTAATACCGACACGAGCACGAACAAAATGTAGTAGCGATCACATTACTAATTCGGGTTAGAATACGTATGTACGGTGAGCGGAAATTTAGACTACAGGTTAGGGTTGATACAATAAACTTATATAATTAAATTCGATGATTCTCACTACCACCACAAGCAATAAATGTAATTTAGTACAATATAGATTAATGTTTGCGCAGATGTAACTTAGAAGCGAATAAAAATATATACTGCAATACCGCAGCTTTGTCTACGTTAATTCGAATCAAAATATCTTATACGTTAATGCAGGATATTGTTTGTTTGTGTACGCAGTTACTTAATAATATTTTTTTATAAACTTCCACATTCATAATACATTGTTAGAGCTTCCACTTTTATGAAATAATAAATTAGTAGCTCCTTACTTAGATTAGAATAAGTATGAAAAAGATTAAGAATTTCAAATGTTTAACCGCAAAATCTCTTGATGGGATGCAATTAACAATATAATAGGAGTTGGGAGTTATTGTTAAAATTTGTTAATAGACGCATTTAAATATCATTTCCAAGTACGAGTTACGCCTGTAACCGTTGCTATGTGAAATAGATATAATTCTAAGTACAAACATAATGCTACCTACGTACTACTAAAATTCTAGAAAGATTAAAAATATTGGCAAGGGATTTTAAGCAAGTTAAGCATCGGCAAGCTTTATAAAAATAAAATATTTGATAAAACAAAAGACTAGTGCGGTAGTTATAGCCCTAGAAACGTTAACCCTCTCAGCCGCTCGCCACACTAGCCGTCTCGCGTTGTAAAAGGAGAGCCACTAAAAGCTGTGTTAAGTTACGCGACCGGACGGCGGGTAAGTGTTGTACGTATGGTGGAGCCGAACTTGAGAATGGCACATGAAATATGTGCGCTGTTTTCAGCTACAAAACAGCACTAGAGTTTCATGGTAAACTTTATACGAGGAGCATACTTCCGCGCGAGGCAATTAAGGGGCTAAATAAGATTATATGGAAGAAACTTTGGTATAAAGTCTAAAACGGGTTTCATGTTAGGCATATACAGAGCAAACTATGTATAAAAGGGAATATATGTGTAGTGTATTAACTACACTAATGAATTTTGTAATCCTAATTGTTTATAATTACTCCTCTCCATCCAAAGTTTGCCTGGAAGAGATCGCTTTTGGTGATAAGGTCGCCCACTGTTTTCTCATTGTGATTATTTCTTGTAATTGTTTATATTTATAATAAGTTTACTATTGTAATCTTTTGGAGGAAACAATAAAGAGTATCTATCTATCTATGTAACTTTTATATGTTCCACATATTTTGCTAAAAAAAAAATATGAAAGAAAGAATAAAAGAAGATGAATTTTATTTATTTGATAATTCAAGATTGTGTTTCATAAAAAATAACCTAATTCAAATTTACTAGTACAACCAGTTTTTCTATTTAAAAGCTAAATTACTCAATCGATTTTGATTGACATAACTACGATTGGAAAAGGAGGTTATCAAAATCGGTTGTATTTTTCTGTTTGTTACTTCATAACTTCGTCAGTTGTAAAGCAATTTCGAAAATTATTATTTTACCTAAAAGGATATACCTACAGATTGGTCCCATATTCAAAATTGGTTCTGTTACTTAGTTTTTAAATTAAAATAACTGGTTTTATTATAATGAAAGTCAGTTTTGTTGGAACATCGTTTTCCATTATATTAAAATAGTTTTTTTTATTTACTTGTATCGTACTTGTTTCGTGACATATATATTATACCTATTGGGTTTATGCATTCAAGTGTCTACAGCAGGGGAGAGAAGGGATTGTTAGTAATGTAGTAGTAAATGTAGGATTAGTAGTGCCATTGCTAGCAATATACTCAGCAATATATATCAGGTCGACCTCCTCGTGGTTCCCCCTGGAAACCATCATGACTGATTTATTGTTAGATTCATCACGGTGGGCTAACTGATCTGCTTTATCTTCACCTGTCATTTCTCACTAGTGCCCCGCTAGTGTATACCGATAACGCAGGCGAGGTTACCATTATATACTCAGCCATTAAAAAAAAAAAAAACTGTCTACGCCATCAATATATTTAGATCCATCGCGTGTTACATATACATTATGTTCCTGTCGAACTCCTGTGGGAAATAGTGCATGAAAATATATTACAATACAGTTTCATATCTACGATCCACGCTCCATATGATATATACGTCACAAGGAAAACAGGAACATTTGTAATATTAGCTTATGGCATAACTACTTGTAAAAGGTAATTTTGATATTCTATATTTGTTTTTATTATTATTTTTTTATCATGAATATATTATTTTATAATTAATATAACATTAAATAGAATAGAAATACAAACACCATGAAATCAGGGGATGAATAAAATGAATAAACATAAACACATTAAATTTTAAGTTTATCGGTCCACCAAATTTAAATACTACGATATATTTAAGTTAGGGTTAATTTTCGACGCACCATAACTATTATATTTCTTGCTTTGACTTTCACGAGACAGGATTTGTCTAGTATGGGGTTTTTTTTTAATTGGTGAAAATGGATTGGTAACCCCGCTCGCACTATTGGTATACACCAACGAGGCACCAGTGGAAGGTGATCGGTGAGAATGAATGCAGGTTAGTTGGCCCACCATGATGAATTCGACAAGAATTAAACATGAAGGTTTCCAGGGGGAACCGCGTGGAGGTCACCTGAGACCTGAGAGGGTATATTGCCAGTAATGGGGCCATTAGACCCCATTACTAACAATCTCTTTCCCCCCGTCTAGTATGGAGTAATGGGGGGAAGGGTTTGTTAGTAATGCGGACTATCAGTCCCTATTCTAGCAATATGCCCCATAAGGTCGACCTCCACGTGGTCTACTCTGGAAACCATCGTATTGAATTCCTGGTATATTCATTACAATGGGTAACCTGTCCTTTTATTCTCACTTATCACCCCTCACTGGTGCCCCGCCTGTGTATACCGTTAGCGCAGGTGGGGTCACCATTTCATCATCATTCATTAAAAAAAAAAGGTATGGGGTTATAGCTATATTGTACCATAGATTAATTTTGTTTAAGGAAATAAAGTTATTTTACTTATTTATACGATATAATTGTATGATATAACAATCCGATAAGACAATTAAATTGGTAATATCTATTTCTCAGGTTCATACATATATAGTTTTAAAT